GCTGATTGTAAGGGGCTAATGGTGGAAATAAAGTGGCACGCGATTAACCGATTCGACGGCCTCTGTGATGAATGAATTCTCAACCACACACACAACACTGTTGCTTCGACAATTACTTGGCAAATGTCGCACGAAATCGGACACCGTCTCCTCATGACACACTCCTCCATTGTTCAGGCTAATTAACGAAATTCACTCTAATCAACGGAGATGAACCACTGAAATTTATCACCACCTGTCAGATGGCAGCTTCGAGTCAACTACAAGGTCGCGACCTCTGGTTTTAGGCGTTTATTCATTTTCAGAGCGCTTATTTCTTTCGGTTCCAGGAACGGTTGCTTCAGGAGGCCATTTCACTGGCGTCAATCTGATAACAGTAGTGGTCTCGATTCCAGGATGCAACAAGCTGGGTTTTGTTGAGAAACCTGCATGGCGGTCTGCCCAGGGCCACGTTCCCTGTGGCTTCGCCAAGGAAGTGCGCCGATATTCTCATCACATTACTAAACCTTCGCAATTGTGATCTCTCCAACTAGAGAAATGACTCAACCTCAGGATATCTCGCAATGTCAGCAAATTTAGTACAGGGATCACGCTCTTTCAGTCAATATCAATCCCTCATGAAGATTAGTGAGGATAAAGACAAATAGAGACTTGAAGGCAGACAACTTCGCACTACAGGCCAGCTTTTTGATTTTCACTACAGACCAGCTTAGCTCCCGCAACATGGCGCTTGTCTGACCAATCCATGTGTCTCTTTCGACATTCTGTCCATCACCGCTCATGATTGCTACCGTGAGGCACTTACTGTGTTAGAGGAGTAAACCTACCTTGTTGTTACGCTCGTTTGGTTGGAAGTATAGTGACTGAAAAGAGCAATTGGAGGAACATTCTCGTTGAAAGACAACTATGAATTAGATAAAGACGATAAAAGAACAAAAACCAACGAAATAAGCATATAGTTCACTTCTTGCAATGAAATATGCTTGAAAAGTGGCATTATACGAACGATGACCGCAGAATACATGATCTGATGAACCTATGGCATGAACTGCAAAGGCGGAAGATTTATTATCGTAAGTTGACTCCAACGGGCGAAACAGGCAGATAGATACCGACTGCCTATTCCAAGACTTATTAAACAAAGGTGCATGAAAAATTACCTCACCTTTCATTTTATTACTGATATATTGAACACTGTACGATGAAAGGAAAGAAGGAGCGGAAAATATTTCAATTCTGTATCAGAGAAACGATGCTTGTCCTTGCCCACTCTTTGTCAGCATACCTCTATTCCGTTGAACCATGTTCTCAAAAGATACATATTTCATGACTAGCATTTACTGGTGCTTCATAATCGGACTACGCAGCGTTCGAAGTTGGATCAAGGATGATTCGAAACATCCCATAATTTGCAAGATGGGCAACTATCTTAAGCAATGGGCACGAAACGTAGAAGCGAAGCCTGTGAGCTAATCATAAACTCCAATTTTCTTAATGCGGCATAGAAGATGTATGTTAGGAATAACAAAAACAGATGGGAAGACGAACGAATAGTTCAGAGCACATACAAGAATCTGCGGTGTCATTGTCCATTGAAAAAGTCAAAGTGGCGATGAACATGAGGCGTTTCAAGAAGAATCAATCATCGCCAGAGAGACATTAGAATGGACTCAAAGAGAGAGTTAACGATCGGCAAGAAATCTTCCACAGCGAGAGAAAAATGAGCTGAAAAACTTCGTTGAATAAAGACGGAAAAGAATGGCACAAGACAGAAATTCAGGGCACAGTCTTGGGGAAGCCTCAAGCCTATAATGGATCGAGAAAAACTGATGAGAAATATGACAATTTTCCTGAGTTTGTATTTTAAAGCCTATGTTGATGAGAATTGGCATGTGCTGAAATAAACTAAAAGAAAGATGGACATGTGCAAAGCATCGCTTCTTTCATACAAGTATAGCAAAGTACAATTGGTCTGTGAGGGAGATTGAAGGCTAGATGCTTGGTTTGATAAATCTTGTTTATATTTCTCCTAGAACACATCACCTAACGACCCAGCTGTTGCCGGCCAGATAGCCTCATTTCTCGGATGGTCACTGATACGAGTCTATTGTTCTGTTAAAATTAATGTGCTGCATTACTTTAAATGAACTGCATCCTCTGTATTATCAATAGCAACCTACCAATAAATTATTGAATTTTCCAATGCCTCAAGTTCAGCACAACAAGGATCGACAAAATGCGGTATCAGTAAACAATTCCAACTATGTTTCCGCCTTTGATTAGGAAATTATCTTGAACCGATCACAAAACTAATTCGACGACATCCACGGTCTCCCTGATTTTCGCGTAATTCGTGGCTTAACTTGCAGTGCATCCCATATTAGAGCTTTCTTTCATGCTCCCTGCCACGTTCGGGCATGTATTTGAAAAAATAAGCAATGGAATGCTGAAGGTTTAACTTAAGAAAAAGTGGCGAGGTAAGACGTTGGGCTTTGTCTCGGTCGTACCGATCATTGAACGCCCAAAATTTACAAACAGTAAACACTTTCCCATGAAAGACCGCATGCGGCGGCAACAAAGCTTCTGTGTTTAGCAGTGCCGTTTGAGGGCAGGTCTCACATGAGTGGCTGTCAAGATCGGGCTGGCAGATCTTGGCGGCGTTGACCCTTGCGTGTCGTCGTCGGCGGGACGACGCGGTCCGCTCCGCACGACGAACGACCCCGGCGGCCGGGAGCGAGGACAGCGAGGCGACTCATTGTTGATCCTTTGAAAAGGCAAACGTGCGAAAATTTCATGCTTCTTTAGCTGCATCTGTCATCGACACGAACGCGCTAAGCCCTGACAGACCGAGCTGACCCGCTGAGTCAATGGCAGCTGGTTGGCGTTACCTCATTTACAGTCAGCCGGGGACTCCTTCAACGGCGGCGGTAAAATGGTGGGAAGCTTCGGTGACTGCCAAAAATTCCCGGAGCGCCTTGGTTGTCGGTTGAAAGGGAAACGACCAGCGAAATCGATGTGAGGCTCATCATTGGTGACAACTGTTTGGTGATGAACCACTATCAAGTAAGAGACGTTGCTTGAAGAAGCCTCGACGGACTCCGGGCTTTTCACGAATATGACACAGGCTTTTTATGCTTGATTGAGTCCGACCGATGACAGGCTATTTTTAGTTGAGACACTGCTGTAAGCAGCGGGTGCCTCGAAGCGCTGAACTGAATACGCTGCTAATCTGACCGCGATCAGTTGGACTGTGGTAGATGATGACCCTGTGACTGTCAAAGAGGTGTATAATGAATACTTTTGATTGTTTAGAAGATCAGACATTGTCATTCAAAACTCTGCCCCAGCTTCGAGTACACATCGGTAAAGCAGAACCAAAGATAAACGACATCGATGAACTTGTACCAAAGGTCATCAATTTCCACGGCAAAAGATTAGCTTATCAGAAGTACTGAAAACCAACGGTAGTTTGCCAGTAAACGAAGATGCCTGAGTTAAACTTTGCACATATTTCTTCGAATAATGAAATGTAAATTGGTGAATAATCGTGCTTTTATTTGTCTCAACTCACATGCACAGTTTTGCGTTCATGAATCAAGGTACTGTAGCATCAGGTGAGCACCATTAAGTATCGAAAGTGTCCATTAAACCGTTGGCAGTGTGGGACCAGTGGGAATATGACGCATAAATTTGCACCAGACACAATGGTGTCGAAAATCAACAATTTACTGATAAACCCAGATTTACTTGGGTTAATTTTCTTGCATGTTCTGCTTTCTCATTCAAAACATCAAAGAGAGGGGATGAAGCAGTTCGAAGATGTTCGTACTGCCATATATCAAAAAATAATATTCATTCAATGGATGCTCAGCGAAGAACCTGTAGCAGCTTTGGGAAACCAATGACCGAATCTAATTGCCGTTGAGAGATACCTCAACAGCCATCCGCTGTGGACTCCCCGTTGTTCTTCTGTTTTGTGGTCATCGGTGACTAAGTAGAGCTTCGAGACAGATCTCTCAGATTAGACCTAAGTGTCCTCCCTGTCTCTGTTAAACTCTCAAGGCATCATTTGAATCGTTTAATGCTGGAATATTTTTTTGACTTTATCTCCAGCTCCTTAACGACGTCCAGAGAAGCGTGTATCACCATGCCATCGCAGATCCAGATATAGTCTCCTTCTTTGTTGGTCACACATTCATGCAAAACTATAGTCAGCGAGCTGAGAAAAACAGAACGATCGAATAAGCTTAGTTTTTCGAGCATGAATAAAATGATTCCGGCAGGAATGGCATTTGCATAAAAACACAAAATAAAAGCGAATCTGATAATCCACCAGTGCCACTACTCTTAACACTGATAGTTGCTTAAAAACTGAGCCGTGAGCCGCACAGAAAAAACTTATCTCAGCCAAAAGTAAATTCACGGTCCTTTAGTTTGGTAATTAACTCACAGTTTACAAAGTGCTTTGACAGACCTGTTGAAAAGAGGCGGAGAGTGGAACTCTTGGTACCTCTCCTTCCCATCCACTGGTCGGTATAAATTGGTTGAAGGGCTTGTCGACTGTTTTGCGTGAATGCAAACCTCGCTCCGGGAAGAACACTAGTTTACAGTCCCCTGAATGTCCACCTTTACACAGGGAGGCGTCAGTAACCCACTGCGCTAAAGCAAGTTGGGTAATAAAATAAGCCTTTCTCCACGAGACAGAACTACGTAGGGGGGGGGACATTGAGTTAGACGAGCGTAGAGTTCGATTTCATGCTTTTATTTGCATTGTATTTTAGAAACCGGAAAAATGTTCCTGATAGTATACGAGCAGTTTTGGAAAGCAAGCTTGGCGCAAGGAACAAAAACGACTACGAAACGAAACCATAATTACCTTGTACAGTACTGGAGTAGTCGCCTTTACAGATGAACTTGCATCCGTTAATGACGTAAAGCTCCTCGCCGGTGTCCAATCGCTTTTGACAAACCATGCAGCAGAAGCAATCGACGTGGAAGATTTTGCCTTGAGCGCGTCGGACCAGATCGTTAGCGGAAATCACCTGGTTGCATCGAGTACATTTGGATCCAAAACGCCTAGAAACAAGATGAAGGTCAAGAATGATGTTCATTGAGGATGGGGTGG